GCCTGTATAGATTTTTACCATTTGCAATAAGTTGCTATTAAAGACAGTGACTTACCCAATTTTCCAACTACTCCTTTCTCTTGCTCAAACTAAAACAGTCACACTTCAAGGCTTGCTGGCTTGCGCGAACTCAACTGAGAAATATTTCCGAAGATATATTTTACGGTACGGAGTGCCTGAGAAAATTAGCAACCGAAAGCTGTCGAAAACAATAGATGCAGAAGCAACACAAGATGAAAAAAAAAAAACGTAAGCGTTGTTCTTTTCCGTTTGCGGCTCACAAGGCAGTCGCGCGCTCGTCTAGTGCATAGCAGACGACAAGGAGCTCGGCGTTTCCTCCTCTCCCATCAATAAAAGTGTTGCCATAGCAACATTAGCAATCTTTTTATTGTTTCTTTAGTTTCACAGTTTGGCCTACCAAACGCCAGGCGACTAATTGGCGCTTGTGGCGCAATTGTCGATTACCTGGGGGTATACTAGCTGATCAAGCCGTAGCGAGACTCGCTGGTTCTGCTGGGGAGCGCGGTGATTGGGACAGCCGGAGATAACCACGCTGCACGCCGAAATCTTGTAGGCCATACCACGGGTAGGCGCACTCGCGCGCTGTCGTCTACCGTCGCGTAGCCTGTCCATAGTCTCGCAGAACCGGCATAGTGGACAACGCGCTGCTGCTTGCCGCGCGATCACGCTGACGGACGGGACACCACCGCGGAATGCTTCCTGCTAGAGTCTGCGTACCCTTCCCGGCTGTCGCTGGCGTTCCGCGTTAGCGAAGCCGACCACATTTGTGAATGGCGACGTTAGAGTGTACTAGAAGTGTTGAGTGGCGTAACCGCACCTCGCTGCCTGATCCCTTCCGCGTAGCGCGCAGCGGCGGCGCTGCAGATGAATATTACTGAAAGAGCCGTGCTCCGCGTGCAGTAACTGCTATGCGCTTCGGCTTCTCCATCGCACTTCCTTGCTGCAGATTTTTTTGTACCTGCCCAGCATTCATGTCTAGCACAAAACTCCATAGCCCTTGAAGTATGACACGCCAATCTACTGAAGTTGAGCTCCATAAAAACCATTGTGAGAGATCAAAAATAATTTAGCAAGGGTGTGTCTTATACTGATTTATTCTCTGTTAACTCTTTTTTTGCTGGTTAGGCGTCTACAATATTCAGAATAACTGGCCCAATTTATTGGAAGTTAGCTCTGCTCAGAATGCTGTGAGAATAAAAACCAATTACAGTGTCACACGCACGTCGACCGAGAAAGCCTTAAGTAAAGAAGAGAATGTGATGACGTTTATTGAACCGGAGAAGTCGCAATGATGTCGCAACGAAAAATGGCCGTACGACAAGCCTCGCAAAGGCGGCCTAGGTTCTCGTGCAATCAGAGCACGGGGTTTTTCCTTCTCTTTGGAAGGCGCATACACGTTAGTGCGTATGCTCCACTACCTGAACCACTACCTGAAGGAAGGGAACCTGAACCCCCTATACCACGAAATGATTTCGTAATTTAACTTTTCAGGGTATACTATGTATGCGTGCGTGCGTGCGTGCATGCGTGCGTGCGTGCGTGCGTGTGTGTGTGTGTGTGTGTGTGTGTGTGTGTGTGTGTGTGTGTGTGTGTGTGTGTTCACTGTGTACATATACAAGGAAGGTAGATTTCTCAAAACAACATGCACCACAGCCTGCCTACACTTTTGACACCTAATAATAGAGCTACGCTTATAAGGCGAAACATCGTCATAAATTTGCTCGCTTGCAATGGCGTTACGCCAATAAAATATTTGGAAAGCAGCACAATTTAGGCTGTCGATACAAAACAAAAACTGGTGACAATGAATTTAGACAGAGTAACAGATAGGCTATACATACAATTGACACTTTTAATAGAATTGTGTGTTGTTTTAATAGGTTGAATAAGTATTTGGTCTTTCGGAAAGCAATAATTATTATCTACCACAAAACTGGCATGATAAAACAGAGTCGTCAGCCATATAAATATTGTGACAACGTTACTTATACTCGGGTTTCTCGTAACCAATCGAGCGCATGTAGGCTCACATGAGGATAGCGTAGAGACTGCCGACAAAACGAGCATAATATTTAACAATGGTTTCGATACTTCTCCCCTCTTTGTAGTTCTCTAGTAGTCACTTAAGATGTAACACAGGTCAAAGCGCTGATTGAATAAGGAGCTCGGCAGATCCGTGCGAATTCCGATTGACATTTTTTTTTGTGTGTTGGCAGGGTCTTGAAACATTGAATGTATCGACGCAATTTTGGCGTTCCTGCATATTCACGCCTGCACCATGGCGCGTAGCAAGTGCGTACACTGATAGAGGCTCAGAAACGCAATAAACGCGCTAAAATCGAGCTATTACACGCTTCCGCACGCTCGGGCACGTGCGTTCCCAATGCAGACGCTCCTTAGATCTTTAGTACCATGGGACTACAGCACGGCCGCTACCGTCGCCCGCCGGAAAATCAGCCGAGATGCGGCGCGGCCGCCTCTGTCACTCCACTGCAACCTTCTAGTACACTGTAGCGACGTAGCGCCTGGAGCACCGATGAGGCACGAGCCAGGGAAGCCAAACACAAGCGCCGGCAGTGGAAGACCTACGACACCGACGAGGGGCGAGTCAAGAACGCCGATCGCGTTCAGGAATAGAGATGGCGTGCGGATAACACCGACGAGAAGTGAGCCGAGGAAGCCAAGTGTCTTCGACGCGTCCCTCTTGTGTCGTTACGTTTCAAACAAACGTTTACTCCAGTAGACGCTACACCGAGTTCCGCTTGAAACCATTCTTCCACCAGCTGTGTCGACGCCCGTTTCCAGCGGGTCGACGTCGTGAGCACCACTATCGCTTCGCATCCCTGGTTTCCTTCTTGGAAATGGTCCATAGATTTTTTTAACTTCTTTACAAACTAGTTCACGGTTGTGTAAATTTTCTGATTCCGCGTAAGTTGAACAGAAAGAATCGACCACTTCATATACCTGGCAACATTTTTCAACACTCTCCTGTTGACGAAATATAGTCTCTATAATGTCAAATATCATGATCCTAATGTTTTTCGCAGTCCACGGGCAATGTTTTTGCCTGAGCTCTGCACTGTCTTGAAATAGTTTTTCACAATGCACTGAGTCTTCCCTTTACCGTCTTTAAGGGTGGTTTCTACATAGTTTTGCGTGCCCCGTTATTTTTCACCTCCTTTCCAACATTCTCGCATCGTCTTTTAAGACGATATTCTTTCTTGGGGACCTTCGACGCAAAACATTTGGTCTGTCTGTCTATCTGTCTGTACATTCATCTGTTTGTCCACCCTTAAGGGCACTAAAAGGCACCGGTGTGACCGGCCGATACCACAAACGGCCAACCCCGTCCGCAGTGCCCACCAATACTGCTCAAGGTTCAGCGGTCATACTTGTCCGATTGTCAATTAAAAGCAATTAATGCGCACAACAAAGGCACCCTCACAACACGTCAATAGTTTGTATGTATATCTTTTACTAGAGAAGGCATACATAAGCAATTCTAAGGACCGTTTATTACGCTGCGCTGAACATGCAACGCTTGCACGAAAGGGAAGTGTTTCCAATGCTTTGCTAAGACTACACGGTGGAGGCACCTACCCGTCGCCTTGCGTTCTACACCTTATCACCTCCGAGACGGGCGCACAAGCAGCGGGTGCGCTTTAATTTTCAAGTAACTGCCTGATGACCCTCATGTCTCACGTGTGACGTGACTTGATGCGCTCGTTCGCCTCCGCTGCGCACTCGAGGCACCTGAATACCATTGACCAATTTTCTTGCGCAAAACATCAACTAAACGTTTTGTTCACTCTTTCCCGACGCAAGACTGTTTTATTTCGATGACATTTGAAGTATAACATGCACATACGAGACCTTTTTTTTATTCTTCCCTGTTTGTGCTAATTTCTTTCGGTGTTTTTCTCACTTTATTTGATTTTGCCGAAGAGTGTCTGTAATTTATTGTTGTTTGCTCTGTTTTATTCTTGCGTATCGCTGCACAAGGACCTCAAGGTTATTTCAGGGCACATCAAAATTGTATTGATTGATTATTATTAAATTTCATTAGTAATCTTGTAATAATAATAATATAAGTTTCTCATTTTTTATCATAAAGATCAAGGAGGCTTGGAGATAAGGCTGAGAAGCATCTTGGCTGGCTCCTGTTTCCCTCAAAATACAGTTTGGCAAATCTAAGGTGGCAATGAACAAGAGTTTTTTAACAGACTAATAACAGCGATTGAAAAAATTTGGAAAGATGGAGAAACAGCGTGATCAGCAGGGAGTACATGCATATAATTGATAAATATAATAATAAGAAGACATTAGAACAACCTTTTTTGCAAACTTAAACGCACAAATTTTCGAGACGTAGAGGTTTACAAAAAATGGTAAACGCTGAATTTTACCTAAAAATATAAAATATGAAAATAAAGAGCCCTTGTCGAAAGGCTAAGAATGACTCGCCAATTCAATGCATCTGCCTGCTTCCTCCGCTGAGTTAGTAAATATTAATAAAATACTAAAACTCTATCGTCTTCCTCCCACAAAAGCTACGTGACCTTACGGTTACTGTTGTGCAGGAGCCGAAACCCCAAGAAATTTTAAAAAAACTGCTTGTTTTCTAAGAAATTTTTTCACTTGCTGCCTTTCGTTTTTTGAATATTTGCATAGATAAATAGATAAAAAATCCTTATTTTTTGTTTACAAGACTCCGAGGTAAAAAGTAGTATCTTTCGCTGCTCGGTCGATGTATATGTAAGACAGCAGGAAACTGCATCCACTGCTTCACGTGTCAATGCAAAACGTCCCCGCCTGGGAGAAGGCGCTACAACGTCAGCATGTAGCGTTACGTCACACAGCGTATGTTTGAATTTGTGAGGTCTTCAGGCGATGAAGATTTTCGCATCACTCGTCCCACGACTGTAGTTTGGTGTTCAGCGCTGCCATGCTTTAAATGTCAACTTGTGATTTCACAACAGTTTTTAGCAAACTACACAACTTCTCACAACTTTATTTGAACACTTTTCGAAACAACAGCTAAAAATTTGCCTTAGAAAATCTTCAAGTTCGGGCTCTCACTCCATTCCGATGCATGCCCGGAACTGTTCAATGCCTTCCACATTGATTTCGTTCACCGTGGACAACCTGGCTTCCATCCACTCGTACCATGCCTTGACACTTGGAAAAGACGAAAGGTCATAATTCAGCGTCTGCGAGAAAGAGTTCAGCACAAACAATTACACATCCTAGAGTACACTCAAGGTTAGATTTTCAGTAGATAATCGTGTTGCGTGCATATTGAAAGTAATGCCGAGCGACGCAGGGTTTGGTAGTTGGTTCTGATTCCCCGAAACGCGGTATTTAATATATATTTATTATCATTCTTACATCCTAATGACGGGTATAGTAATTCCCTAAAAAGTCCAAGCACTAACCACGAATTAGCAGCGTTGCTTTTCGACAACGATCGAAGACTTGACATTGATGCATCAGCTGGCCAACATCGAACCATATTCTATTATCGCGCTTTTGTGATACTTTAAAAACCGCCATGGCCGCTGAGCTGTTGGCGTCTTTCATGTCTCCACTCATGTCATCATCCCTATTCTTCTTCACGGCTAAGTGTTTTCGGTTAGAGGGCATAGTTTGAATGTACACAGTACCTTGGATGGCCACTTGCCTGTTCATTGTAAGGAATGCCGCTGTACTAAATTTACTTTCTACTTTGTTTCGACAAGGCACAAAGGAAAAAAATGTGCTGGAGATTATTGCAGCAGAAGCTATTGTAACAAACTCTCATATAAATGTCAGAGCGCAGTCGATCGATTTGTGAGACCAGGAGACCGTCATTCTGGAGAGCTTGTGACATGGAAATGGGCGTATAGCAAGTCTGCACACTGTCTAATACAGGTTCGATTACAAAGAATAAAATAAGATTTGCTCATTATTTTGGCAACGTTTTCATTCAACACTCGACCGCTGGCTCTCGCTAACGAAGTCAGCGTAGCTACACGCCCCGCACACCGCAGCGGTAGAATTGTGAAGTTAGTTCTTATAGGCACACACAATAATTGTCAGCATACAAAAGAGAACACCGAGCCTTGGACCCTTACTCTAACATATGTTCATGGGCTCTCACCCTTCTATAGATCGACAATGAGGTTCATTGTCGGTGATTGTGTCATCTATTGCATAATAACTAACCAACACGATTCATCACAACTTCAATCCTATCTTGACAGCACTACCTTGTGGTGTTCACTCTGGTCCAGAAACTGAATATTGTAAAAGAATGAGGATCTCTCGAAGAAGTACCGACAGCACTAGACCCGCCTATTCAATTAATAGTTTTCAGTTATCGTCTGACACTGCTTAAAAATATCTAGGTGGTCACATTGATAACAACTTAACTGGGAATGGCCTTTAACAAGAAATATTATTTATGTGTTTACCAATGCAAACCACACTCTCGGCTTTTTTCGCCGTAACTTTTATTTAGCGTCTGCTTCATTAGAACTTCTTCTTTATAAAACACTAATCAAATATAAACTCGAGTACGCTTCATCAGTCTGGGACCCTCGTTCTTGTACACTTTTTAACGCCCTAGAAGCCATTCAGAATCGTTCGGCTCTTTTCATTGTCGCTAATTACTCTCGCACTGCTAGTATGTCATCAATAGAAACTTCTCTCGAGCTCCCTATCCTTTCAAACAGAAGGAAGCTGGCCATCCTATGCCTCTTCCACAAAATGTTTTTCATGAATCCTTAAATAAAACGCCCATTGTTCTCACCACCTTTTTACGTTTCATCTCACTTCGACAACGACTTCGACAACGACAACGCCATCAACCCTGTTCATGTATCATTCAAGACTGCTATTTCCGACTTGTAGCACCACTTTTCTCTGTACTGGTGCGAATGATATTGAAAGTATTTAAATAAATAAAATAAGTAAATATTTAAACTGATTGTTCAGTACAATTGATTTGAACTCAAATTGCAACTAATGTTAAATAAAAGTGTGAGTGCACGAGTATGCGTGGTTTCCGTTCACTCTTCACAATCGTGGCAGAAATGATGTTAGTGGCGGCTGTCGTTGTTTTGAGGCTGTCAATCATTTGCTTATCGCCATTATTTGTGTAGGCCTCAGTTTACAGATTCTGGCACAGTCTGTCGGCGCGCGCTTGAATAATAGCGATTAACAGCGTAGCTGTTATGGATACTGAAATATTGCACCGGTCACAAAATCCCGTGGTGCTGCCGCTAGATATAGCAATCCCCGCCGCTATAGATGCAAGGACACCTGGAAGGTTTTTTTGTAAGCGTTCTGTCACATCATGAAAGAGGAATAGGAACGGAAGAATGACAAAAAACTGCACGGCGTTAGTTGAGTCTACTCTGACAATGAAAACGTGAGAACAGACACAGTACAGGCATAGAACGGGTGGATGCCCAGTGTACTTGGCTTAATGCATGCAAAACGTCCTCCCAGATGCAAGCGCATGGACCCAGATGCGCATCGGACCCAAGCGCATCGGACCCAGATGCAAGCGCACGAGCCCCAACATTACAATCCACGTTTTTGCACCTGGCTTAGTCCAGTCACACGCCCATTGCTTGAAAAAATTGCCACTGAACCCCTCTTCACATTTTTACACCAAATTGCATCTACTCAACACATTACCACAAATAATTTGTTAATGTCATGCCACTCTTCCATCTTGAGCATTGAAAAATATTACCTGCCAATAGTCATGTTCACCTATCGTATTTATGTATTTCATTGTGCATCAATAGCATTTCTGAGTTCTCTCAGCTCGCCTGTTGCTTGTTTTCTCCCACTGATTCTTCCATTTGATTCCTCCTCTGTGCTCTGACAGAACGTTTACAAAATTGGGGTACCCTTAAGCTTCGTTTTTAAGAGTTTACCGCAATAGTGAAATCCGGCCCCTAGTGCACCCTTAAACCGCTTAAGCTTAGTGCATGCTCATTAATATGTTTTGTTACACACACACACACACACACACGCACACGCAAACACACACACACACACACACACACACACACACACACACGAGCGCACGTGCAAGCGCGACGTGTCTGTAGTATTGCAGTGACTGTGGAGTGTGGCCACTTCCCTCTGCTAGAACGGCGCTCTGTTGTAGTCGAGACACGTTTTTCACAATGTCTCACTGTGACACACGCACACACACACACACACACAACACACACAAACGAGCGCACGCGCAAGCGCGACGTGTCTGTAGTATTGCAGTGACTGTGGAGTTTGGCCACTTTTTCTGCTAGAACGGCGCTCTGCTGTAGTCGAGACACGTTTTTCACAATGTCTCACTGTGGCGCACACACACACACACACACAAACGAGCGCGCGCGCAAGCGTGACGTGTCTGTAGTATTTCAGTGACTGTGCAGTTTGGCCACTTCCCTCTGCTAGAACGGTGCTGTGTTGTAGTGGAGACACGTTTTTCACAATGTCTCACTGTGGCACACACACACACACACACACACACACACACACACACACACACACACACACACACACACACATATGTGTTTACCAATGCAAACCACACTCACGGCTTTTTGCGCCGTAACTTTTATTAAGCGTCTGATTCATTAGAACTTCTTCTTTATAAAACACTAATCACATATAAACTCGAGTACACTTCATCAATCTGGGACCCTCGTTCTTGTACACTTGTTGACGCCCTAGAAGCCATTCAGAATCGTTCAGCTCTTTTCATTGTCGCTAATTACTCTCGCACTGCTAGTATACCATCAATAGAAACTTCTCTCGACCTCCCTACCCTTTCAAACAGAAGGAAGCTGGCCATCCTATGCATCTTCCACAAAATGTTTTTCATGAATCCTTAAATAAAACGCCCATTGTTCTCACCACCTTTTTACGTTTCATCTCACTTCGACAACGACTTCGACAACGACAACGCCATCAACCCTGTTCATGTATCATTCAAGACTGCTATTTCCGACTTGTAGCACCACTTTTCTCTGTACTGGTGCGAATGATATTGAAAGTATTTAAATAAATAAAATAAGTAAATATTTAAACTGATTGTTCAGTACAATTGATTTGAACTCAAATTGCAACTAATGTTAAATAAAAGTGTGAGTGCACGAGTATGCGTGGTTTCCGTTCACTCTTCACAATCGTGGCAGAAATGATGTTAGTGGCGGCTGTCGTTGTTTTGAGGCTGTCAATCATTTGCTTATCGCCATTATTTGTGTAGGCCTCAGTTTACAGATTCTGGCACAGTCTGTCGGCGCGCGCTTGAATAATAGCGATTAACAGCGTAGCTGTTATGGATACTGAAATATTGCACCGGTCACAAAATCCCGTGGTGCTGCCGCTAGATATAGCAATCCCCGCCGCTATAGATGCAAGGACACCTGGAAGGTTTTTTTGTAAGCGTTCTGTCACATCATGAAAGAGGAATAGGAACGGAAGAATGACAAAAACTGCACGGCGTTAGTTGAGTCTACTCTGACAATGAAAACGTGAGAACAGACACAGTACAGGCATAGAACGGGTGGATGCCCAGTGTACTTGGCTTAATGCATGCAAAACGTCCTCCCAGATGCAAGCGCATGGACCCAGATGCGCATCGGACCCAAGCGCATCGGACCCAGATGCAAGCGCACGAGCCCCAACATTACAATCCACGTTTTTGCACCTGGCTTAGTCCAGTCACACGCCCATTGCTTGAAAAAATTGCCACTGAACCCCTCTTCACATTTTTACACCAAATTGCATCTACTCAACACATTACCACAAATAATTTGTTAATGTCATGCCACTCTTCCATCTTGAGCATTGAAAAATATTACCTGCCAATAGTCATGTTCACCTATCGTATTTATGTATTTCATTGTGCATCAATAGCATTTCTGAGTTCTCTCAGCTCGCCTGTTGCTTGTTTTCTCCCACTGATTCTTCCATTTGATTCCTCCTCTGTGCTCTGACAGAACGTTTACAAAAATTGGGGTACCCTTAAGCTTCGTTTTTAAGAGTTTACCGCAATAGTGAAATCCGGCCCCTAGTGCACCCTTAAACCGCTTAAGCTTAGTGCATGCTCATTAATATGTTTTGTTACACACACACACACACACACACGCACACGCAAACACACACACACACACACACACACACACACACACACGAGCGCACGTGC